GTTGCTCCTCTTTCTGACGTTTCTCAGCTTCTTTGGGACCACACTCTTTCGGCTTCTCAGCCTGAAATGACTTATTAGAGAAGCAACAACAAAAAGAAAGAGAACTAACGGTTTCTTTATAAGTTAATTTTTTAGAGGAAAATCCTTCAAACTTCAAAAGTTCATTATCACTTAATTAAATGTTTGAAAATTTTGTCATTTCGCGATTGAGGGACTCCTATATCAAGCTTTGACCCTCTTAGCAATAATTTCACGCAATTGTTGCCCTGGTGACGAGCTCATCCTCCAGCATCTACCACTGCTGAGCTGGCTCCACCCCTTCGCGTGTTATCATAGAGCACTTCTTCCGCCTCTAGCGTACACACGTATGGAAAGTGAATCGTCTATCTGCACCGACCAACAACTGCTCGACAGAAATCGTACCGTGTTTGTTTGTGGATTCGTCCCAAAACGATGGCATAACAGGTAAGAGAACAGAACACTATATCATTTCTTCAGAATCCAAGACGTCAAACATATTTTAGTTTCTATTTCCGGTTTCAGCTCCCTCCAAGCGGTCATTCAAGACCTACTGTGTGATTATTACGTTGCCTGTAATGCAGAGAGCTGGGACGAAAGCTCCGCAACTCGATCGCTACTTTCAAATGCTGAAGCTCTAATATTCTTTGTTAATGAATTCACCCTTGGGGACAAAACTTGTCTCCTCAATCTGCAGTATGCGTGGCACCTCATGGTTCCTGTCATTATGCTTCGCCCCCCTAAAACAAAGCTCGTGATCTGCAAACGGGAGCAGACCCACGACGATATTGTGTAAGCAGTATCTTATTTGAAAAAATATCGCAAGTGTTGGCATTAGCCCATAAGATTTGTGATAAGCCAAATGTAAAATTCACCAAGTCAATCATGTCGCACCAAGGGTAATTGTCTACAAATTATGCACGCTTACAAATTTAAACCTATGAAAAATTCTAGCGTTGTTGCCAACGGGTCCATCGTTCGTAGTCCTAGCACCCGATGGACTCTTCTCGATGATACCAACTTAGATGCAGTTGACTATGGTTTGCTTCAGGATGTTCTTCATGAGGTTATTTTGCGTCTTGCAACTTATATGCTTCCCCAAGCAGTCATATTCACAGGGTTACAAACTCTCGCTGGTTTACGACCGTCTCGACCACAAGACATCCATGAAGAAGATCAGCGAGCGTCTCAAAGAAGTAATGCGTCCTTCGCTTCTTCGCGAGGCTGAACAACGACCATTCTTCCTTTCTCCAGCCAACGGCCCTAACCTTACAGAACGATATGACAGCTCAGGCGAAATAACAACTGAAAGAGGTAGATATCTAGTAGATTATGATCAGGTATTTGGCTGATAGCAAGCGCTCCTACGTATTTTAAACGTTTATACT